CTCGGAGTTGCGTGAGACTTGTTGGATTAGGCCAATCGACCATAGACTCTATCTTCCGTGGATCAACCTTCACGCCATCGTGGGATATAAAGTGGCCTAGGTACTCAACCATCTCCTACCCGAATGAACACTTGGACGGCTTGATGTGAAACGAGTTAGACTCCAAGACCTCAAGCACCACTCTCAAGTGCTCAATATGTTCATCCCACGACTTCGAATACACCAAGATATCATGAAAGAAGACTAGAACAAACTTACGTAGATACTCTTTGAAGATGGAATTCATAGCAAATTGGAAAGTAGATTGGGCGTTGCACAACCCGAATGGCATTACCAAATACTCATAGTGCCCCTGGTGTGTGCAAAAAGCTGTCTTCGGAATGTCTTCCTTGTGGAGTCGGATCTGATGATAGCCAGCTCTCAGGTCGAGCTTCGAGAAGTAGCGTGATCCTGCCAATTCATTGAGCATGTTGTCGACACTAGGAATGGGAAACTGATCCTTAATAGTCGCGACATTCAAAGCTCAATAATCGGTACAAAACCTCCACGTGCCATCCTTTTTTTAGATAGTAGAACTGGTGATGAAAATGGACTCGAACTGTGCTGAATTAACCCAGACTCCAACATCTCAGCTACTTGCCTTTCGATCTCAGTTTTCTGGAAGTGAGCGTACCTATATGGGTGGACATGTACAGCATGCTGCTCGTTGACTAGAGGTATGCGGTGGTCGAACTCCCGGTGGGGTGGTAGTCCCTTGGGCTCACCTGGTACTCCTTCGAATGCCTCGAGAAGCTCGCATACATCTCCTTGCTGCTGCTCAGTCTTGCTTACGTGCACTCCTGTATTTTCGACTACTACTGAAAAAATTTGGCCGCCACTTCGCCAAACTCTTTTGATACTCTTTAATCCAACCTTCTTAGTAACCTTTTCCTCTCCATCCTTAAGAGTGACTCTTTTACCCCCATACCTGAACTCCATGATCCCAGTTCAGTAGTCAGTGGTCACCTTTCCTAATCCCTTAAGCCACTGGACTCCTAGAACAACGTCGGGCCCGACTAAGGGTAAGGCATAGAGATCAGCCTCCACCGTAACCCCTTGGAACTTAATCGACACCCCCTGAAATGACTTGGTGCATTAGAGCCTCTCATCGTTGGCTACTCATACCTCAAAGGGCTCAATCTTCGTGGTTGGCAACTTCATCTTCTGAGACAAGTCGGTATTGATGAAGTTGTGTGATGACCCGTTGTCAACGAGTACGACTACTCGACGGTCCCTGACCCAGGCTGGCAAGCGCATCGCCCTTGGCCCTCGAATCCCAGCCATTGTATGCATCGATATTTTAGCTTCCTCTTCGAGTACTTCAATCTCGTCCTCTTGCTCGGGTTCTTCCTCGACCTCAGTCCCTTCCTCATCGGAGTTGGTAACCTCTATAACAAAAGCCTGCTTACATCGATGACCTGACATGAATTTTTTTTCGCACTTGAAACAAAGGCCTTTCTCGCGTCGCCGTTTGATCTCCTCAGGTGTAAGTTGCTTGACTACAGGCCCCGGTGGTCGAGCGCTGATGGCCGG